GCTTGGGGCGGTGATAAGACCTTGGCGAGGTGGAAACTACAATCCACCCTTGATGAGCATACCTAATGGGAAAGCAAGTCTATGTGAAATTCAATGGAAAACATCAATCTACTGATATGATTGTGGGGAAAATCAACTACCATTCCTCAATCACCTTAAGCGAAATGGGGCGAAAACAAATCATCTGATTTCCTGGTAGTCTCGAAGGCCTACTTACCTCCTTCATGCTGTTGAAAAGTGAATTGGCTGCGGACGGATTGTGAAATGGCTTTTTGTTTGATCCTGAAATGCTGCCACATGTGATTGTGTCCCATTGTACGTGTGTTGTGTGCATGCACTGCTTGTGAGATGTGTGGAGTGCTTGAGAATCCCTCTCATGCTCGGCGACACCTTTTGCTCCAATTCTCTTTTTCTCTCTCCAATCCAATCCAACAGCCATAATTAGTTCCCACTTAACTTACTACACTCAAGGAATTTCAGGCATTTACCATGCCACACTCTGTGTTGACCTTGCCAAAGAAGTAAACTTATATTTGACATAGCAATTGACGACACTACTTTTTCGTCAGTGAGTAGGCTGTATAAATTACCAGTAAATTGTTTTCACCCTATTTCGTTTAAGGTGATGGAGGATTGGTAGTTGAATTTATCCACGATTATATGAGTAGAGCTGATGTTTTCCATTGAATGTCAACTCGCATGTCGGAAAAGCATACGATTTTCAACCAAATCATGAAATGTCCCACTCAGTGGATCCAGCCAAACTATAAAATGTAGGTAGGATTGCAGCCGGCCACCTTTCTTGTCTTCGTGCTTAATAAGTTATCGTAAAGTATGGAGTCTTGATTTGACGATGTCTGCCACATGAGGGACGAAAACTTAGCAAGGACGGTGTGCTGAGGATCTATTCGCAGAAATCTGCAATCACAGCTCCAAGGCCATCACTCCACAGCTTCCGGTGAGGCCAATCTATGAATCCCTTGCCCTCGCCTATCGAAACTAAATGAAAACCAGTTTTCCTACCTAAATGAAATGTATTTAAAATAATTATACATTCAATAAATTTGGACAAAGAAGAGGATTTAAGGGATCACACAAATTGTCGTTCAATTATTGCATACATAAAAAACGAGTAATGATGTAACATTATGCAAAACCCGTTTGCGAATATACTTTACATCACCAGCCAATGCGTAGCCATTAATCTAAAGTACTGGTTTTCGAAAAGCTTATTTACTAAAAATAGATAGGCCTCAGTTTTTGATCACAGCAACCGTTAGTCGCATAAAGTTGATATGACCTCGTTTTCGTAAATTGGTTGTCTCCTCACAACGACCTGGTTAGACGCGCTGTATCCGAAGTCCTCTCCTCAAGTATTTTTCATAATTCCGTGGACTTGCATCGGCATCGTCATTGAGACCTGCCACTCTCAGCACCAAGCTACAATTCGTCAAAGAGACGAATAAGGTCAATCCCTTCACCAGCTTTTTATCCTCTTATGACAACTTCTGACTTCCCGGTTAACTACTTTCACTCGGTTCCAGTCGCAGAATACGTTTCCCTCAATGCGCTATTTCTCACGTCTTTAGATGCATGTACACTGTCGCCTCGTATCCCCAATCAAAGCGCATTCTGGTGGAGATCATCAATATCTCTGACAAGTTCCCTGAAGAGGCAAAACGGGAAATGAAGATGGAAATAGGCGCAATAATATCAACAACTCGGGAGCCGACAAATAGGAACAGATTTGCGAGAATACGCAGGACCCTACAAAGTAGTGAGCAATTGGTCGTTTAGGCGGACAAGGAGGAGCGACTGTGGTAATGAAAAAGAAACTGTATACCGAGAATATACTAAATACAAAACCAACTATGAATAGAAAATGGAATCTTACGTGACATGCTGAAAAATAGGCATAGGAACAGCGAGATTGATGCATGGACGAAGAAAGGATGAATGATCTCCAACAGCCTACGGATTACCAAAGATACACAAAGTAGAGGCCGATATTTAACAAAAACTATGGAGCAATACACAAATAAACAAACTTTGCATGCTATCAATTCAGGAAATTAAGCGACAGGTAGTTAAGCACAATGAAACAATCATGTGAATTTTCTCAAAGCCAGAAAAAAGGCCCTGAAAGAAACAAAAGTTTTGGTAAGTTTTGATGTACAATTCACGTATACCAACATCTCTGAAAAAGGTGCTAACGGTCCTGTCTGGAAGAGGATATCCTGAAAGCAGAACAGAGTCGTTAATACGACTAAGCAACTTGAAATTAAGGACTACCGACATTTATGAATAAACACTTGACATCCTTCGAGATTGCCGCTAACCTATTTTAGCAGATGTATACATAAACTGCACAAACCAAGAGTGCTCATGCTGTACCTCGACGACTAAATCGCACTTTCGTCGCACTTTTTGAAGTCTATAAACCAGATTTATGAAAAAATCAAGGTAGAGAAAGAGGAGCGGTAAGCGTTCTTGGGTGTTGACGTCATTTGCTCGAATGGGATGCTCAATGGGAATTTTTTTAGAAAGAAGTCGTATGTCGAAATAATACTCATTTACCATTCCCATCACAACCAAAGGCAGAAGATCGGAGTAGTTAGAAATATGACCATAAGAAGCTTACGATTTGAGGATGTGTAGTACTGAGATTAATAATGATAAAAATCAGTTCAGATATACCTCGGCAACTGATATCCGAGAGAAATAATACGAAGCATAGGGGCCATTAAAAACTCGATGGCAGGATGAAGAAAGACTCACAAAAGTGAATATTAAGAAGATAAAATATTCAACTACCACAAAAGAAGACGAAACTCTTTACAAGTTTACGCATAAAGCATAAGAGGGTAGACAAGTAGTATTGTTTGAGAATTTATCAAATAGCATGCGGCGCCTGCGAACAGAAATCCATTGGTAAAATAGAGGGAAAAATAATCATACGAATCAGGAAAATGGGCATGGACAGATCAGAAATAGAGGAATACAACTCAAAAACGGAAAGGTAAGACTCACTGACGATGCCGGGGAAACTTTTAGGAGTGTACCAAGTCCATGGTATAAAGCTGGAGATTATGAAAAATACTGGATCAGATGACTTCGGACAAAGTACGTTCAACTAGGTCTCTCTGACAGCACAGCCAATTTGCAAAAACAAGGCCAAATCACTCATTATTTATTGGAGTCGATCTGGGCTGAATTGTAAATCATGTAGAAACCCATCATCTCATCACAAAATTCATTCGAATTTATAACTTTCAGGCCCATTTCTAAGTTAGTAAATAACAATATTGTGAAATTGTTTCCCCTCTAATGCATATTGGAGGTGTGACAAACAATATTTGATCAATATGTACTCTACACCTCGGATATGTCGATTGTGTCAAGAGCAAAAAGACCGATTCTCTGATATGATTTTTAAAAGAGCACGTAAACATTCATTCGGGCTAAATGCTAAGCTGCTCTCTAAAGATCACGACGACACACTTGGAAATGTACCAAGTCCACGATCCGACACTGGAAACTATCATGGTTTCTATGACAAATGACTCTGACAACTCGGATAAGTTAAGAAAACGAATCTAAACCAATTCAGAAATCATACCGTTTGTCATTCAATCTCAGTCACCTCAATATTAAGAATTAATTTAAAATTAGATATGATCTCCTAAAGCCAGACATATCAATGTTCAAATTAACAAACAAGATTTATACTATATTTCGTTTAAGGTGAGGAAGGACTGGTAGTTAAATTTTTCCACAATTGTATGAATAAAGCTGATGTTTTCAGGTCCACCCTGGATGAGAACACCTTTAGGGGAAGCAATGTCATGTGAAATTCAATGGAAAACACCAGCTCTACTCATATCGTTGCAGGAAAACGACAACAATTCCTTCATAATTTTGAAGGAAATAGGTTGGAAACAACTTATATATCTGATTTACTGGTAGTCTCTAAAACCTACTACTCACTCATGAAAAAAAGATTTATGCTCGTCTAATTAGCAAATATAAACTTAAAGGAAAGGAGCAAAAAATATCAGATAGAATTTGACCTTAGTTACCTAGCATGTTGTGATTTAATCTTAGATGAAGCTAATTTATCAGCAAAAGTTTGGCTGTTGCGATTAGCTTTCGGGTCTCGAAGTGGACGAGGAATACCAAAAGACTGACTTCCAGTAGGATTCGACAGTTGAGGTTTAGTCGTGACGACAGGGCAGGGGATTGCATCGTGTCGAAGAGCCGTCTCTTGCTCAGGACCAGTGCTTAAGCGCAATGGGGAGTAAGAAGAAGATGAAGAGAAAGGAGAGGATGCAGGCCTTGATGCTCTCTGCTCAAGCACCCGTTCGCTACGCCCGACAAAAACCGCAGAAGCCGGGCGCGACTTCAAAATGGTACATTTTGATGAGTCTGAATTGGGAGTTAATTGAGGTCGAGATGGAATACGCCAGAGTACATGATCTGGACGATCAGGCCTGATAACAGCGAAAAGATGCCTCTGTAAATAGCATGATGAAGCGAAAATATGAAGAAAAAAGATACAATTTTATATTACGAAATTACTAATAATAGCAATAGGTAAACACGAAGCATGAGACAACAACGCATAGAGACGTCTTTATAAGGCCTTAGCGCCCCATATTGCCGTGAATAGAATGATTTGAAAAAGTCAAAGAAAACAAATTAATACATCATTGTTTCCAGTAATTTTCTGCATTTTTATTGTCCAATCTGAGATTGATCTTGTATGCTCAAACGTAAAAGTTATTTTGCTGACTAATAAGCTCTACTTTTGGAATTAGTTGCCATAGTGAAATGATGTAGCATGAAATACATAAAAACGTGGATTCGAAGCCAAGTCTGTTGATACAGCCGTAACGTTCTCAAATTACTCATAATTACTAAACGACGCCAATTCATATCATCTTGTCGGTACGCATTTGACTCAATTTACCTGAGCAAACTGTAAGACCCCGTAGCGCAAAACAGCTCGTTGCCAGGCCTCTGTTCCAGGCTTTCCGCCCGTCAGCGAAGCAAGTAGGCCGGCAGCAAGAGCCAAATCTGTATCGTCGGGGCTGAGTGTTGCTCGAAGTTGACAACCGACTTCCCATGAGCTGTCTACTGGTTTTGGCACCGGTTTCTCTGAGCGCCGGATTGATTGAAAAAGTTCGCTAGAGATGGGCCTGGTGTCCAAAATGCGGCAAATGAGAGCACGACAAATTGATGGTGAAAATGGCGTCCGCGGAGGTCGAAATGCAGCGCGAGGATGAAATTGACGACCAACTCTCTTCAAGCGGCTTCGCAATTGAGAATGAGGCATTGCCGCTGGGAGGGAGTGGACGCGCGAGAAAGAGAGATAATCCAGGAAGCAAGAACGAAGCTTAAAGACGAAATGATGACGGGGACGGCGTCCAAGAGGAAGGATTGACAACCGGCTTCTGAGCAGACTGGATGCGGTAGGAAAGTGCCAATCTGGCCCGAGAAGTGCGAGGTGCAGAGGCAAGATGCCGTTTCTAGGAGCGTGCGATTTGGCGAGTTTGGTGTGGCATTTGGAGGAAAGACGGTGATGAAGGGACCCTTTACGATGGCCAAATGAGAAGATGAAAATATAAGTGAGACATCACATGAGCATAAAGAATAGGCAAATAATATAAAATCACGTCGAAAGAAATACTAATGAAACAACACAATTTGTAATGGATAGCACACAGTTCAATTGCATAACGTACAATTTGTTCAAAATGGCATTTAGATATGAAATTATTTCCAAAGTGGCAAGAAAAAAACAGTTTCTCTAGGGGTTTGTAATCATTATGTGGCGTGAGGAGACAGAGAAAAGCAGCTTTTAAAAATAAATTTGTATGACGTTAAAGCTTTAAGATCAGAGAACACTACTCTCCTATGGGCGTAGATAAGAAGTTATTCCAAAATCACTGGAACGGATTTACAATATTAAAAAAAAAATTTA